AAGTTTCCTTGACTGTGTATGGAAACTCCTAACCTCATTTGTGGAAGCCATGGATTTGAATAGTGTACAATAAAACTATCCTTATTTAAGCTATGGTCTCCATTAAGGCAATTGATTGGATAGGCTGAAGGAGTTGGTAGCAGTGAAAAGGACCCCTCTGGCCTTTCCTCCAGTGAATTGATTCAGACCATTCAGGAATACAGCTCTAATTTTATCAAATTCGCTATTTAATTAGCATGCTGCTTACTTAAGGGTGTGTATATGGTGCTGGCTTCTGAGAGAAAGAGTGCTAGCCTGTGTGCCAAATGGCTATTACAGATTGATGCTCTTGGTTAAAACTGGATGACACAATACAAATTTCTAGCTTTGAGACCATGGTGCTACCTAATTCTGTCTCTCTAGGTCTTTAATTTCCAGGCATTGGAATAGCCTCAAATCCATTTTGGCACAGGATACATCATTATTTTCATATTTGTGCTAGTCTGCTCTCCTGCTTTCATCCATACGAGCCAGGAGTGAATAAGAGTTGGCAATTTCATATTCGATGATTATATTACAGACTATACTTTAATCAGCACCCTAATAAACAGCACGCTCAATTAATGGGGACAATTGCCAGCAAACAACTTCACTTCACTACACTTCGGTGGCAGTAAATGATGGATAAATAGCATGCTTGCTGTTGTCTGCAAGCTTATTTGTTGTAATTAACAGGTATGATTTGGTGTTCATTGGCATGTCTCACAGTAGCGTTCTGCTCATTTTTGAGTAGGTTCTCTGTTCTGGTGTAGTTGCTGAAAATAAATAAAAAACAGATTTCCCTTTCAGTATTTGCTTCAAGTAATTTAGTGCTTTTGTATTAAAAAAAAAAAGTAACTGAAAGGGCTTTCTACGTATTATATTCCTATATGGGTTTAATAATAAAGGTGATAATTTAATTAGCATGTTTCTGTTTTAACTAGTATATCAGATAATAGGACTTTGCCATGAAATGACTTAATAAACGGAGAGATTTCTGCTGCTCCAACTTTCTAAAACTACCTTTTTAACCAGAGGTTGCATGGTGGTTTGCTTTAAAGTGGTATTTCCTGGAGGGATATCCACAGAAGTACAATCTAATATCTGAAACTGATGCTATGGTTTACTGCATGCACGTGCCACACTTTCTGTAATTTGGACACCCTTTGCCAGAGAATTAAATAAAATTGAACACAGCAAACCTTTCTAATCCCTGCATTCCTCCCATATTGCTTCCATGGAGATGGAAAAGATGATTGAAACCAAATCAATATAAAAAGGGAAGTGGTGCTCAACAAGGAATCTCAACCAAAGAGCCAGGATGGCTATGGATCAGCAAAAGGCTAGAAACATTTATGTAATTGAAGGAGGACATCATTTGCGGGTTATCTGAAAAGAATTGCCCAAGCTGGCATTTACTTTGACTTGTTGGCAGGAGGAAAAGAAACCGCCCTGTACCACTGCATAGGGTTTCTTATTAGTTGTGGCTTCTGCAGAGGCCTCGTCTCTTCTTTGGAGCATGGAGGATTTCTTTCATTACATAATCTGTACACTTTCTTTTTTTAAATAATTTTTTTTTTCTCCTCTTGTGTGTGCAAATTCTCTTTGCACCAATGCTTCTATACTGAAGTTATTATGCCAAAGGAATGCAAGCGTCTAAAGTAACAATGGTTCATTTTCCTTTAATGACTTTGTCGACAGGACGGAGACATTTTTGTGGTGTGATGAATTCACTCGGTCTCCCGTTGTGTTTTCTCCGCATGCTTTGGAAACTCTCTCTCTCCCTCTTTCTCCGAGAATTGCGGCCATCCACTCCAGCAAGAGCTTCATTACTTTATATTCATTGTATTTAAATGACACCCCAGTGGTACTGACCTCCTGGGATGATTGATGTAAATTATATGCTATGTAGGGGAAAATAAAATCTTTTTCTGCCTTTTTATGTTCTGTAGAGAAATAAAAGTGAAAACAAATGACAGAGAAAATCAGGCCTATTCAAAAGTGAAACTTTGTAAGCATTATGGTTTGAGTAGACTCCAGTTTGTAAAAGTGCTGAGACAGTTTATCATGACCTTAGTATCTGAAAGGTGACCTGAAAAGGGAAAATAATTTTGTATATGCCCTTTTTTGGTTCTGTAACATGCATAACGAAAACTTGATCAGCCTTTTTTTTTTTTTTCCCCTTCCTCTCCGTAAAGTTTAGTTAGAATTCATTAGGGAGCAGACACTGCACTTTTACCAACTACACAAACACACGGAACTGGAAGAGAAATTCTGTACCCCTAAGTCCTGTTTCTTCCCGTCTTAGGGAGCAGACTAATATCTTCTAGCAATTTTTGCTGTATTGACTTATCATCTGTAGAAGCAGCAAGAAAGGGAATGTTCTTTCATCAGCCCAGCTCATTATCGGGCATACTAACTTAAATCACTTCTGAACTTGCAGTCTCTCACTCTGGGCAACATGATTCTGCATTGCAGCAGGAAAATTCATCAGAAAATGTTCTGCCAGTGCCTGAAAAGACACCTTAACAAGTCACTGTTCAGGCTCCCGGAAATTATTTAGTTGACACTGGACATGCCTGACCATATTATCCCAGTCATTCCCACATTAAAATTACTGTATGTAGTTGGCATAGTCACTTCTCCATTTTCTATGTGTTACCATTAATCTGTCTTACCAGTCCTGATACACATAAAGATATGCACAGAACACATAGAAATGTCAGCAACATGCAGCTTTGCCTTCCTCAATTTAATGTAAGGTTTTGGTCAACCACAGAATTTGCCTAAAAAATTTAGCTCTTTCATGGAAGACTGTGATAACTTGATAGAACGCTTTGTTTTTTCTTTAGGCCAGGAAAAGGCTGATTTGGTTGGGGCTGTCCAGGTGTTTTAAAATTTGCAATAGGAAGGAATAGTTCAGGTCATCTTCTTTGCAGCAATAACTAGAATTTGCTGTAAACACAAGAAGCAACAGCCTTGGCCTCTCGCTCTCTAGGATGTTATCTTTAGCTGCTTGGTGTTTTGCCTTGCTGCTGTCGGTGCTTAGCCTGGTATCAGCTTTGCTTTCATAATCACAAGCAGCAGTGGGATGGAGAGGGGCTGGCAACACTCAGCTGGATAGCAGTGAACAGCAGAATCCCCTAGTCTTCCTCAGGATGATGTGGGAGCTGGAAAGGGGAAGAAGGCAATCGGGAGAGAATCATAGGGATTAATAGGATGTTTATGTGACATAATAAGGAGGAAGGGGAGTGAATGGTAGCCAAAAAAGAAAAAAAAAAGAAAACAAAAAGGAAGGGAAACACAAGGAAACAAAAGGAAAAAGACAGAAAATTATCCGAGATGACTTTCAAATAAGGTAGAATCCAGGTGGCCCCTAGAGCAGTAAGATAATTTCAGTTGTTAAGACTTCCTCCTTTTCACATCCCTCAGAAACAAACAAAAAACTCCCCTACAACGTATCTAAAATTGCAGAGGCTCTAGACTGTCACTGTCTTAGAATGAATCCGAGCAGAAATAACTCAGATGTTGTTCAGTGTGCAGGCAGGAATGTGAATTAAACACGGACTGACAAGGAGAAGGCAAAAGACTGAGACTGCAACTTTGGGAGTTACACTCCCTGCAAACCTACAGGAAGAGCATGCTTTTTGTGTATGTGATAAGACAGAAAGTACTACCAGCTACTCATTTCACCTCTGCTAGCCACGTTTAACACTTCCAGTCTCCGCCATGAAACAAATCAGTCTCTTTCCTTACAAATCTTCAGCTACGTTGGCAGATGAGCAGGAATTAGCGAACGCACCAAAACCTACAAACGAGGGGCACAAAACGAAGGTTAAAAGCCCCAGCGCTGCCCAGCCGTGCCCCTTCCTTTCGCCCTGCCCAACTAAGAGAACACAGCAAAGGATGCGATCGCTAAAACGGGGACACACGCCACCAAAAAACGAGGGAGCACATAGGCCTCGCTTCGCCAGGGAAAGCCACCTTGGTGCCGCTAAAGGCATGTAACCACCTCAGCAGCACAACTCGCAGTCGCACAAGCGTTGCGGCACGGATCTACCGGTATTTTTAAGGACAAAACCGTACGGGGATGAAGAGGGCGATGTGACAGAGCGAGGGAGAGACGTCGCGCTCCCATTTCTGACACCCCCACAGCGCCGTGACCGCAGCAGCGGACGGGGTGGGGGGACGAAAACGGACCGGCACCTGCAGCGCCGTGTAA